AAATTTCTAGGGCAGCGCAGAATGCCACCAGTCTCTTTGCTAAAATATAACAAGAGTCACCTTTGTTTCAGTACCCAACAAGTTTCTCATATCCATCTGAGACCACTTCAGCCTGGATTTCATTGTGCATATCATTATCAGCATTTTGGTCAAAGCCATTTAACAAGTCTCTAGGAAGTTCCAAACTTTCCCATGTTTTCCTGTCTTGTTCTGAGCCCTCCAAACCATTCCAACCTCTACCTGTTATCCAGTTCCAAAGTTGCTTCCATATTTTTGGGCATCTTTTCAGCAATGCCCTACTGTGCCAGTGCCAATTTACTGTATTAGCCTGTTTTCATGCTGTGATAAAGACATACCTGAGACTGGGCAATTTATTAAAAAAAAGAGGTTTACAGGAGAACTCAAAGTTCCACGTTCCTGGGGAAGCCTCACAATCACAGCAGAAGACAAGGAGGAGCAAGTCACATCTTACATGGATGGCAGGAGGCAAAGAGAGAGCTTGTGTAGGGAAACTCCTGTTTTTAAAACCATCAGATCTCCAGAGACTTACTCATTATCATGAGGACAGCACAGGAAAGACCTGCCCTCATGATTACTTCCCACCCGGTCCCTCCCATAACACATGGGAATTCAAAATGAGATTTGGGTGGGGACGCAGCCAAACCTTATCAAGACTGTTGATCTTTCTTATCATTCTTGTGTTTGCTGAAGTAGCAATTTTAACTTCCTTCAAGAACATTTTCTTTGTATTTACAACTTGGCTAACTGTTTGGCAAAAGAGACCTAGCTTTCAGTCTCCCTCAGCTTTTGGCATGTCTTCCTTACTAAGCCTTTGGTTTAAAGTGAGAGACTTGTGACTTTTCCTTTCACTTGAACACTTAGAGGTCATTGTAGGGTTATTAATTGACTTAATTTCAAAGTCGAATCTCAGAGAATAGCGAGGCTGGAGAAGTGGGAGAGAAATGGGGGAAGGACTGATCAGTGGAGCAGTCAGAACATACAACATTTATTAAGTTCTCTGTCATATGAGTGTGTTTTGTAGCATACCAAAATAATTACAGTATTAACATCAAAGATCGTTGATCACAGAAGTAATAATAAAGTTTGAAATATTGCAAGAATTATCAAAATGTGGTACAGAGACATGAGGTAAACAGATGCTTTTGGAAAAGTGGCACTGATAAGTTCTCTTGATGGAGGATTTCCACAGACCTTCAATTTGTTTAAAAAAATTATAATAATAAAAATAAAAGACCAGGTGTGGTAGCTTATGCCTATAATCCCTCCAGCACTTTGGGAGGCCAAGGCAGGCAGTTCACCTGAGCTCAGGAGTTTGAGACCAGCCTGGACATGATAAAACCCTGTCTCTACCAAAAATACAAAAAATTAGCTGGACATGGTGGAATGTCCTCCAATATGGAGGTAGGAGGATTGCTTGAGCTTGGGAGGCAGAGGTTGCAGTGAGCTGTGATCCTGCCTCTGTACTCCAGCCTGGGTGACACAATAAAGAACAAACAACAAACAAAAAACAGTAAAGTGAAGTTCAATGAAACAAAATGTGCCTGTACACTAAAACTCAGTCTGTTCTAGCTGATGTTAAGAACACTAAATTCTTTAGTGTCTTCAGGTCATATTTGTAATAACACTTCTGTTAATGTTTTAAAAATTTACTATTAGCACCACCTCCAGTTATAAGTATACGCATTCATGCATGTTGGACTAACCCCGTCCTTGGACAAAGGTCAGTAGCAGATGAAGATTGCATTTTTTGATGTGCTCAGTTAAGTTTAATTTAAGGTGGCCCATTGTACAATAATGTTTGTGTATGTGTACAAATTATTGAAATCAGGAAGGGATTATTTACAAATAATTTACCCAAGCATGAGAAGACCATTGAAAGTGAGATGAGGGAAGCTCCATACCAAGTATAAGTGTAGTTTAATTCTGCCCAGCACATCTGGAGGAGAACATGTGCATAGGTGCATCACATTCCCAAGCCAGAAAAACTTTAGGTGATTCAAAATGAACATTGTATTGTTTGAAGAACAAAAGTCTTCTAGCAATAATCTTTTTTTTTTTTTTTTTAGATAGAGTCTCCCTCTGTCACCTAGGTGCTGGTAGCACTGCCACCTCTCTTCTCCCTCCGTGCCACCTTCTCCAGGCTTAAGCAATCCTCCAACTCAGCCTTCCAAATAGCGGGGACCACAGGCATGCACCACCACACCCAGCTACTTTTTTGTGTTTTCAGTAGAAACAGGGTCTCACTACATTGCTCAGGCTGGTCTTGAATTCCTCAGCTCAAACAATCCGCCCATCTTGGCCTCCCAAAGTGCTGGGATTATAGGTGTAAGCCATCACACCCAGCCTATATCCAAATTTCTTTTTATATGTTTTTTGTTTTCTTATTTCTTTCTTTGTTTTTTGTTTTTGCTTTTTTAAAATACAGGTTCTCACTCTATCACCCAGGCTAGAGTGTGGAGGGCAGTGGTGCAATTATAGTTCACTGCAGCCTTTAGCTCTCTTTCTGTCTCAGCTTCCTGAGTAGCTGGGACTACAGGAGCATGCCACTACAGCAGGCTAATTTTTTAAAATTGTTTGCAGAGACAGAATCTCACTGTGTTGCCCAGGCTGATCTTGAACACTTGGGTTCAAGCATTCCTTCTACCTCAGCCTCCCACTATATTCATTTTAATCAGAATGTGATGTTTAAGCAAAATTAGAATGTCTGAGCTTCTACAGAAAGTCTTTCCCTTCCTGCCTCTTCCATTTCTTGATGTTCATTTGTGGTAACTATTTTTTCTTTTATTTTCGCCTCACTTTATTCTTTGAAATGCTTCTCTGTCTACTAATTCTGTTTTTTTCTTCACATTACTTTTTCTTTCCCCCTTCTACTCACCTTGGCATTCTTTTTAAATAAATAGTTTTCACAAAAGATGTGTGTAAATAACAGAGAGTCAAAAGTAAGATGAAGTTAGATACTTTAGATAGTTTTTGGTTTAGAAGTAAAAGTGTTTGTTTAGCAGTAAATGTTCACATGGTTGTTCTGTGGTCAGCAGGTTCAAGCCAACCTATTCCAACAAATTCAAGCCAACAAATCTGAGGAAGCTGAAAGGCCCAAGAAAGAGACTGACAAAGCCAGTTTCTCAGAAAGAAAACATTTAATAGGGACTGAGAAACAGAAATCACCATGTCCTGGGAACTGGCAACCGCAAGATTAGATAGTGAGTCCCTTGCACCATTACCCACACCAGACGTAGGACTTATATATAACAGAGGGAAGGATTGTGTGGGACAAATGAAGTCAACCCCTCAGGGAAAGACAAAAATGCTATGGGAATCTACCTAAGGGCAGGATTTATTGTAGCAGTAGTTAAAATAGAAACCTTAAAGTCTTTCCCAGCATAAGGGTTACTCAGAAGTCACCATGGTGGAATAAAACCCAATATGGAGTTGCTTTAGCCTCCACAATAATGCAGAGAAACAAACATAATGGAGATGGCAGTACTTTTTAGACCGTATTTCAAAGAAATCTTCTCTTTGAAACATGGAGAAGAAGGTGTATGTCACGATATGCAACATAAGCTTATCATATTCATATCTATTTAATATATCTAGGACAAATTATGTAGTTCTAGGAATATACAGTGAGAGTTTTCTTTTTTAGAGATGGGGTTTCACCATGTTGGTCAGGCTGATCTCGAACTCCAGACCTCGTGATCCGCCCACCTCGGCCTCTCAAAGTGCTGGGATTACAGATGTGAGCCACTGCGCCCGGCCACAGTAAGAGTTTTCTTACTGTCCCTTCACTTTAGATATTAGTCACCTAATAATGATCAAATATGCATCTTTTAACATGGACCACTTGTTCATCAACCTTGTATATCAAATGGAGAAATCTATGTAGCAAATGCAAGAAGTTTTCCTTGACCCAATAAAGATACGGGACCTTCCTTAAATGGCAATGTTAAAATATACATTCTTAAATTATGTACTTATTTACATGGCTTCTCCTCTCTAGTAAACTTATCCTGGAATGTGTCTATTACATTTATTCTACTTACTGTCTCTTCTTTTAAAATGGGACTCTATCAGAAATATCCCTCTGGATACAAAATGTGGATTTGTGTTATGTATTTTCTCTAACATCTAGTTCAGCCTTAAAACATTAAAGTACACATCCCATTTTTCTCAGTGACAGTAAAGGGGCATAATTTCTATTACATAGGTCTAATTGCCTTGAAGAAATATCATAAGAACTCAAAACATGGAAGGTATTATTATTTTGTTATTATGCTTTGAATTCTTAAGTAACCAATATATTCTCTGTCTCTGGGTCTGTTTCTAGTGTCAAAACCCTTGTTAGCAGGAATTAGATCAGATTATATTAATAATTATGTAGTGAATGTCTTTGACTATTTTCTCATCAGACAATACATGTCTATATTATCTTTTATCTCAGTGTGTATGAATAAACGTCAGAGCTATTTGGGTCATAATTTGCTATGCAGCTCTGTTGTCTTGTATATCTCACTGTAATAACAGTGACTTATGATTTACAAAGTAGCCTCCTTTTATTAAAGGTGTATTTTAATTTGATATTAGAAACAACCAACTTTAAAAATGTAATTGGCCTTAATATCTTTTTAGATTCCTTTGAAGATGTACTTACCACAAAAATATGCTCCTTGGGAATTTGACAATCGCGCTGGCAATAGGATATATCATTTTTAGTTTCCAGGAAAAAGCAAATGTTTCATTATTTTGTTGTTATTTACTACATCATAAAAGAAATATTATTTTTAGCTAGCTATGTGCTTCTAAGTCCAGATATCATTTGATAAAATGAGTCAAGTGGGAAAACTCCATTTCTTTGTGATGACACATCAAATATGCCCTTATCTCTAAAGACATTAAGAATGATTGAGTGAAGCCTTCCTGCTTTGTTTTTTCAGTATCTTTAGACATAATAGAAACATCTAAATTATATGTTTATTTTACAGGAGCCAGTGAAAAAGAAATAGCCCTAATGAATGCTTTGACTATAAATTTACATCTTCTACTGGTAAGTTTTCTTTCCCACTAAAGTTTAGAACACTTTCGTTTATAGAATCTGATGTTTTTCTATCTTTAATCCATGAGCTTCTAGGGTTTACTTATTTAAAAACAAATTGTGAAGTCATTTTCATTTTTGCTAGGAAATGCTGGACGATGATATAATAGCTTCTTCCTAATCTTGGAAGAGTTGACTCTTGAGAAGAGCTTAAGAATGATGAACAGTTCTTGTCTGAGAAAATAAAGAATAAGAGCCATGTTGGGTAAATAGGCAAACTACTTTCAAGCCTACAAGACGATGATGTACAATGCTAGCAAAGCACTGAGCTTTTTGAAAAGACAACTTTCCAATATCTTCAGCAGAATAAGTTAATGGATCAGTATAGTTTTGTAGATTGATATAGATTAAAAAAGACTTGGAGAATTACATTTTTAAAAAGGGGTCTAGTACTTTAAAAGACTTAATGTATTTAAGGCACTTCTTACATCTTACTCAATGAATAGTTTTACCTTAAAATGTCCAATGTGTTATCTATTTGGGATATCGTGTTAATGGTGACTGCCCAGGGCTTTGAAAAGTTGACTTCATTTTTTAAGTATGTTTTGGAAACATGTCTACAAGTTCAGATATCCCTGGGTTTGACTCCCAGCTAAATTACATAATGCCTATTTGACATTGAAAAAGATTTTTGCCATCTCTAAGTATTAATATTCTCCTTTGTAAAAATGGGAAAAATAATATCTACCTCAAAAATCTGCTTGAGGATTAAATGTAATAATATGTGAAAATTACTTTAGCACCCTGACCAGTGATCAACACCCAGTTAACAGTAGCTATCCTCTTCATTGTTATTACTGTAATATCACTCTCTAGGAATGGTGTGGAGAAATGAAACAGCCTCACTTTAACAAATGAGCTACTGTCAATATGCATAACACATAGACCATAATATTTCAGTGTCACACCATCGAAATTACTATGAAATGTTTTGGGAAGGTAATTTTTCAATTAACATCTTTTTTTATATTAATCATCTGATTTTAAGTTTCATCAATTAACATATAAGCAAAGTTTGAGAATTTGTTATCTCATTCACATTTCCCCCCTTTTGCTGTTTCATTGATAAGTAAATTGAGCCAATATCTTCTTTCTCTTTGCAATTCACTGGAAACATGGCTAATTGAAAAGATACCCTTGATAGTTTAGATGTGGACTTAATTAATGTCTTTAAAATGCTGGTGATTATAAAATGAAAGTGTGACATAAAATGAACAAATGTATAAATTGTGCATTAATGCTTTCTCAATAAATCTGTTTTATTGCAGTTATCATTTTTTAAGCCTACGCCAAAACGGTATAAAATCCTTCTAGAAGCCAAAGCCTTTCCTTCTGATCATGTAAGGATTTCTTCAAATTATATTTATGTTCTTTTCTATTCTTCTGAGAGGAGCGTATCATTTGCCTGACTTGAATGTATACTCACTATTTTTTTCCAAGTAATCTTACAATAAAAAGATCTGTCAAATGCTTTTGATTTAGATTTTTTAAATAGATTGTAATTTTATTTCTTTTGTTAAAATGAAACACATGTTAAGGGAAGAGAGGATTGGATAGGAACATTGATTTATTAGTCTTTTTAAAGATAATTGAGCAAACTGCTGGTCTAAATCAAGTGCAGTTATAAATGTTTTATTAATTCTTGTTGCTGTTTTATTTCATGAAATCAAATCAATACAAATGCCAGTGCTTAACCCTTTAGCTAAATAGAATAGAAATACAAACTTTTATTTGTCCAGTTTGTTTTCATAGGATGCTAGCATAAATGTTGACACATTATCATCAAAAAATTACTTATTAGATATTTGAAACATTTCTTGTCATTTACTTAAAAAAGTCATGTTTCACTTTATTTCATCAGAAACTTGATGATTTCTTGCTTGACAAGATGTTTGTTCTTACTTGATAATAAATTTAATGGTTTCAGACACAAACACAGAAAAAAGTACATTGTAAGACTGGGAACAGTGGCTCACACCTGTAATCTCAGCACTTCAGGAAACCAAGGCAGGAGGATCACTTGAGTCCAGGAGTTTGAGACCAGCCTGGACAACATAGTGAGACCCCTGTCTCTATAAAGTAATTAATTAATTAATCAATTAATTAAATTTTAAAAGTACATAGTATATTTTAGTTTCGGTGTTAGAGAAACTTTATTTCTCTATATTATTCCTGTCAATTATTCTAGCCTACATCTTGTAATTTTAGGGCAAGTAATTATGTCAAAATGAATAAAACCCTAATATCTTGCTAAAATGTGTAAAAACCCTAACATCTTTCAAAGATTCCAGGTCAGTGTGGTGCTTATCCCCTTACATACCTTGTACTCTTAATGAAGTAAAATTCATAATGCCTTTTTTTTTTTTAGCTAACTTACTCTTCCTAGGGTAAACCATTTATACATCCTATGTTCAAGCATAGCAAATCTCTATTGTTCACTCTTCTTATTGCACAAATTTTGGTTTTGACTTAAATGATTTAATTTCTTATTCTAAAATCTCTTATAATTCCTTAAGTCAAGAAGATCACTATGTTTTCAACCATCTCAAAGAATGTTCAGAATTCTATATGTAAGTTTTATTAAGTGGTTCTTCTCTATTGTGTATTTTGTTTAGATCTTTTAAACTTCACCTTGGAGTTAATGTCATAATATGCCTTTATTTTTACTTTATTGTTTGTTATTTCAGTGTATTTTTATGCTCTCAGCTTGATTTGATAAATAAATCATCTTTCCTTTTTAGTATGCTATTGAGTCACAGCTACAACTTCATGGACTTAACATTGAAGAGAGTATGCGGACGATAAAGCCAAGAGAGGTATATGAGAAAGAAATAAATATTCACTATGCACTATTTAGTATTGATTTTTTCTTCATTTTCCTCAAAAGTTTATTAAAATCTTCATTACTTTAGCGGAACTTTCAAGAAAGCATAAAGGATGTATACTTCTGTTACTATTAAATCATTTTGCTTAAAATAGATAATAACTCAGATGTCTATTTATTTTCATTTTTCAAGGGCTAGCCATATGCAAGCAAACTATTTTTCTATTAATACCACTGGAGTCTGCCATATTCTTCAATGGGATGGGAAAAGGGTGACAAATTTAGTATACCATTTTCAATTTCAAATGTCATGACCATGGGTGCCACTAAAATCATGCTAAAGACCAGAATTATTTGTTGAAGTGGAATCATGACTACCTTTCATGTCCCCTCTTATTGTATCAGACTTTTTCTGTGTTTAGACTAGGTTAGTGGAGAACGGGATGTGGTATAGTGGGAAGAGCTTGGACTTTACAGCCTGGCTAATGTTGCCAGTGAAATCGCAGACTCTCTAGCTTACTGGGTATGTGACTTTGGGAAAGTTACATTATTCTCTGAGACTCCTTTATATTTAAACAGGTAACAAAAGAATGTATCTAATCAGGCTTGACCTAAGATCTAAATGTGTACTTTACATTAATAGAGATATAAGGCTCAGCTGCACAGACTTTGACATATAAACCCTGTAGCTTGTGTAATTTATCACCATGAAAATCATACAGAATAAATTTTAGATTTCATATAAGATGCTCCCAGGCCACTAAGTCATTGTTTGAACAATTACTTCTTTCAACCCAGAATTACTTTGAATAAATTAAAGATGTACTCTATTCACTTCCACTTGCCAACATGCAATAAATTAATGGAATAAAAAGTTCTCATAAGAGAGGATATAATTTGTTAATTACTAGCAAAAATGAATATAGCTGCTAATGTAAGTGGCCAAATCGTGGAGTTTCATGAGTTACTCATAATCTTGGAACACTGTTGAGCATTACCTAGAACAAGTCAACATGAGAGAGGGCAATATCCTGTCACTAAGAAATATATTTCTTATATGCTTAATACAGATTTTTAAAGATACAAATTAAGTATTAATATAAATAGTATTTTCCTTACCATTTTAATGGAAATTATGTGGGTAAATCTTATTAGATGATTTTAAGAATAAAGAGTTTTGGATTGCCAAGTTATTAATTTTACTTATAATGAATGAAATACTTTATATAAAGTATGCTTCACTTAATAATTTAGAGATTTTAATGATGATCTCATTGATACTGAGATGCCAATTTTTATTGATGCCCATTTTGTAAACGAATTCCAGGTTTCTTCTAGTAGAGAGTGCATTACATACCCACACACGTACACACACACACACACACACACACACACACACACACACACACACACGTGCTCTCTTAATATGGAGCAGAGTAATTGGCAGATAGCAAGACAGTTAAAAATTAAAAGTAAAATGTAGGATAATATCTTAATGAGCTTTCTCTAAATATTAATGTAATTAATGATGCATTGACCTCAAAATCATGTCAGACAGCACTGGAGAAAATTCATGAAAGCTTCGTGAGTAGATCAGAATTGCTAAAATACCCATAGGTACTTCGTATTTAACTAAAGTTTTTCAGCTCTAGTTGTTGACAAGGCCAAATCTAAATTCATTCACAACTTTCAGTAAGTAATCAATCATTAGTTATAGTGGGAAGATATAAGGAAAAAAACTTCTTTAATATAGTGAGTTTTATTGATGTTTTTCTTTTTGTTTGGGTCTTGATCTTTAGATTAGTTTGGAGAAGATTTTACTCTTAACATAATAGAAGATATTGGCTAGGTAATACTCAGATGAAAGATATGTAAGTATTATATTTTCTTTGTTTAGCTTGGTTTTTTTGAGACAGAGTCTTGCTCTGTTGCCCAGGTTGGAGCACAGTGGCACTATTCTCATGCCTCAGCCTTCCGAGTACCTGGGATTACAGGCATGCATCACCACACCCAGCTAATTTTTGTGTTTTTAATAGAGACTGGGTGTCACCATGTTGGCCAAACTGGTCTTGAATTCCTGACCTCAAGTGATCTGCCCACCTTGGCCTCCCAAAGTGCTGGAATTACAGGCATGAGCCACCACACCTGGCATGTTTTCTTTTTTCTGGAAAAAATAGCAGGATATTAGATTGACGAATGGAATACCAGTTTCCAACAGTGTATCTTGCTATATAGTACTTAATGGACTTCTTGCACTTTGTGCTGTTTTGTTGGTCAGGAATAAGGTAAAAACAACTTATAGCTGTGGAAATAGTACCAATTAATTAAAAAATACTGGAGAACAAATCAACCAACTAGATTTTTGCAGATTTTCACTTTAAAAACTGCTCTTTAATGTTTTATCATTTATTAATAATAAAATTATGCTCAAATGCTGCTCTTATGGCAGAATTTTAAAGAGGCTTATCCGAAAAAAATCTTCTAATTTATAATGCAGAAGACCTTACGGTGAAATTTAGAATGGCAAATATGAAATGACAAATTTATTATTGCTGATATGACATAACTTGTGCCTAACTTGATTTAGGGGGAAGAAACCTTAAGAATAGAGGATATCCTTGAAGTAATTGAGAAGGAAGGAGATTCCATTGCAGTGATCCTGTTCAGCGGGGTGCATTTTTACACTGGACAGCACTTTAATATTCCTGCCATCACAAAAGCTGGACAAGCGAAGGTATGTACGTCATTTTCTTCTTCCCATCTTACTCCAAACATCAACTCAAGAGTGTTCTAATTGTATTACTTGTGAAGTACTTAAGCTTGTGTCTCAGTAAAACTATTACAATAGTTAAAAAAGAGTAAGTCTTACATTTAAAAGAAAATCTGTATTGTTTTTTGCTTTGGGCAACTCTATTTAAACTGCTATTTTTTTTTTTTTTCATCTTCTGTGGTCTCACCTCCTTAGTAGCAGCTGCTCTCTGCATTTGCCTCTAGTCAGGAGGCCAGGCAAGCTGCAGGTGATGTCATTGGTACTCAGCTGGTCAGTCAGCAGGAAGCAGGCTAAATACTGAGGACACGAGCTACATGCTAGGTCTGTTAAAAGCTCAACTGGTACTTTGTCATTCTAAATATAAATCAGTTTTCACTTAACTCTGAGTATCTAAAGACGGAAAAATGCAGAATTAAACTTTATCTGTAGATCAAATTTTATACAAGTTACTTTAAAGAGGCCGTTTTATTCCTAAGAATCTTGAAATTTTTTTATACTGTCTATAATGAGAACTTTATTTTTTTTCCTACACACTACTAAATCATAGCTAAATTATTTTGAAGTCATGTCTCTTTGTATATATGTGTTTGTACAAAGTTTTTCTAGTGTTTATTTGAAAAAATTAAAGGGGCAACATTCAACCGTCATAATTTGTGTTTAAAATCCTTAAATAGCACTTCTGTTTCATTTAGCAATCAAGTCATGTATTTAAAAATGTGACAATTGAATTTTATTCTGAACATTAATAAGTTATGGGATTAATATATGTGTGAGGTCTACTTAATATATTCAGTTATTGAAGCTAATGAATGGAACAAATGAAAAGATATTCAGTACTGCTATCAGCAGTCTCTAGGAATTTCTAACCACGACTTCCAACTGGTTTGATGGATAACTCTGAAAGTGGTGCATTACAAAAGATATAAAGATAATGTCTTATTAATTTAGATATCAAATGTTAAGCACCAAAATAAAGGGAGGCCAATAAAAAAATCATATTTTAAAATGTTATGCAAGTAGTCAGCAGTCCCTGCTTCCTTAGTATACATGTATGTCTCATTAACCTTCCTGGATATGAGACAGCAAGATACAGAAGAAAGACCATGGGTTTTCGATCACACAATATAAAGTTCAAATCTTGGTTAGGTCATTTAATTGTTACATGATCTCGAGCATGTTATTTAACTCTCTGCATCTCTCTCTTTGAGAGTGCTAATTTAACATAACAGCACCCACCTTATAAATTCAGCGTGAGAATGATGAATATAAAACACCAAATGGATTGGCATACATTCTGCTATTAAATGATGGTTCCTTTACCTTTCTACTGTTCTCAATGAATATGACATTATAAAGTAGTTGAGATAGACACTTTCTTTGTTTCCCATTAAGACGTAAAATAAACTTGCTAAAGCCATTTGTTAAGTGTTTTGCAGGCTTTCTTTAACTTAAAAAATATAATGAATGCCTACTAATTTAGTCTCCTGGACCTCTCAGTCTAATAAATAAAGATAGGAATGAGCAGCTTTAAATGTAACTACAAAGAAGCAATCAATACTATGAGAATAAAATGGGGATATAGCAGATGTAGATGTACCCATTATCAAGATTATTCTAACAAACTTTTACCCTCTTCCTAGACAGTTCCTCCTGTTATCAACAAAGGTGAAGCAAAGTTCTTTGAAATGTAGACTTCCGTATGTCTCATTGGTGATCTAGTCATCTAAGAATAAAGCTGAAGAGAGAGGCAGATAGGAAATTAAAAGTGTCAATTATGAAAGAGATGGGAAATTTAAGGGACAAAGGGCATAACACAGTCATTATTAGGTTTGGACATTTGAGGCATAAAAAAGTTTCCAGAAATAAAGCTTGGTGGGAATACAAAATGATGGTGGGATGGAGTAATGAAAATCAATCAGGAGGTTCTGAAGTAAAAACTTCACAATCATGTATTAAGGAAGTGGAAACAGAAATTTTGAAAAATATTTTAATTTAAGAAATGTATGCATACCAAAAACAGCATGAATCATAAGCAAATAGCTTCATGGGTTATTTTGAGCCCTTATAACCATCACCTCTATCAAGATAAAAGTATTTCCAACACTCAGAATCCTTAATTGTGTCTTCTTCCAAATACTACCTGTTACCTTCTATCTTTGTCCGCTTGGGCTGCTATAAAAAAATACCTTAAGCTGGGTAATATAAAAACAGCATAAATATATTGCTAACAGTTCTGGAGGCTTGGAAGTATAGATCAAGATGCCATCCGACTTGGTGTCTGCGTAGGGCTGCTGTCTGTTTCACAGATGATGCCTTTTTGCTTTGCTCTTTCTCGCATGTCAGAAAGGGTATGGGGCTTTCTAGAACCTCTGATCAAAGTGACTAATTCCATTCATGAGGAATCACTTAATCATGACTTAATCAGTTACAAAGACCTGGCCTCCTAATTCAGTCACATTGGGTATAAGGTTATAATATATAAAATTGGGGGTCGAAGAGACCAACATTTAGACCATAGCATTTCCCTTTCAGATTTACCATTCTCCTGACTTCTAACCACATAGTCACCTTTTTCATTTTGAACTTTATATAAATGCATTATTTTCTCTAGTTTTGAACTTTATATGAAGGCATATACAGATTGAATATTCCTTACCTGAAATACTTGGGACCAGAAGTGTTTTGGATATTTTTGAATTTTTGAATATTTGCATTATGCTTACTGGTTGAGCACACCAAATCTGGACATCTCAAGTGCTCCATTGAGATTTTTTTTTCCTTGAGCATTATGTCAGTTTTCAAGTTTTGGATTTTGGAGCCTTTCAGATTTCTGAATTTGGGATTTTGGATGCTCATCTTTTTTAAACATTTTTTTGTGTTTGGCTTATTTGCTGACTTTTATATGTGTAAAATTTATTCATGAAGTATCTAGCAGTACTTTGTTTTTGTTTTAATTTCAGTGTATTTTTACATAGTATGAAATAGACCACAGGTTTTTTCCCATTTTAATTGGAGTAGATATTTGAATTTTATTTTCATTTGAGAACTATTAATGTAACAATACAAGGTACTCTAAATATTTACGTAAATTTATTTGGATATATATTTATACATATTTCTCTTAAGTATATACCTAGAAGTATAATTCCTGGATCATAAGGTATATGTATATTTATTCCTAATCAATAATGTCAATCCTACAAAAAAGTTGTTCTTCTACCAGCATATGTTAGACTCTCTGTTTCTCTACAGCCTCACCAATAGTTACTATTTTCAGTCTTCATAATTTTAGCTGTTCTAATCAGTTTGCAGTGGTCATGTATGGCTGTTTTATTTTACAATTCTCTGTTTATTGATAAGATTGAGAAACTTCCAAATATTTATTGGCTTTCTAGATATCTTTTATGAAATGCTTGTTCAAGTGCCTTGCCCATTTTTCTATATAGTTACCTGTCTTTTCCTGATTTGATTGTAGGTGGTATAGTAATTGATTTTGAAGGAGAGAGAAAATACAAGATTTCCAGTAGTCATCAAAGAAGAAAATTAATTAATAAAAAGAACAATTGATAGTATGACTTTGATTCACACAATGAAGTTAAGACACTAAGGTTTTTTGTTTGTTTGCTTTTTAACTGAGCTGGCCTGAGATTGTAGCAAGTAGGGGAGGGCAAGAAAAACAAGTTAGAGAGCTCAATAGCAAGGGAAGGCAGCATGTGGTGAGAAATATCAGTTTGAATATGTCTCTTCAAGATGAAGATGTGCCAACCCATCTTTTTGGAGCTCTATCTTACTTCCAGGCTTCTATATTTTTCACATTCTGTTACTTGTTTCTACTAGGAGTTTCTTCTTTCCTATACCCACTAATTGTAGATGTTTACAATTGTCTCCTGCGTTATTACCTCTAGTGATTTTTAATCACTGCCATAATTCAGCTATCACTGTCAAGTTCAGACTGCAGGTTACTCATACAATAGCAAATAGCCTGCATCATCCCACTATGTCTTGATGTCCTATGTGTATTTTGGGATCAATATGCTCCAAAGAGTTTTGTATCACCCACAGGATTCTCTACTGTATTATCATTCCACCATCTTTCTGGACTAGTACACTCAGCTTTTCTGTTCTTGACCTTTCTAACCAATCTCTTATTAATTTCATCTTCTCAGAGTCTGTCTTTATTTCAATATTTCTGAATCAAATATGAATGTTTTCAGCTGCAAGAAACAATATTAACCTCAGCTGAAAAATACAGATTTCTTTTTCTCACCATGTTAAGACTTAAAGCAGGAGGCTGCTGGGTGCACTCAGCAACTCAGTTATGTCTGAGTGCCATCACCCAAGTCTCCTTAGAGTTTTCTCAGACTTTTCCCATCATTCTCACAAGATATTTGTCTCAAATGCAGATATCTCATTTCTATTTAAGGCAGAGAGAAGGAAGAAAGGAGAAGCAGCAGGACATCTTCATCTGTTTCTTTCACCCTAAGTGCTAAATCTTAACCAGAAAAAAACCTAGCAGATTCCTGCTAATGACTCACTGCTTCCTGAAATGGCAGCTAAGAAAGAGCATGAGTAAGGAAATATTTCACATCTATGAACCTATAGTAGAGAGAGACTATAAGGAAGGGGTTGGGAATGAGGTTCAAGTTGGCTAAACATAATATTTCTTATGTTCCCCAATTATACCCTCATAGGATCTCATTGTTCCTAACCCATTTTTCTCTTTTCTCTTTCATTGCACCTTTTTCCTTCTTTTCTCTCCCTTTATCATTTCCCCTCCCTTTCCTTTCTTTCTTTTCGTCCCCTTCCTTGCTCTCTCTCTTTCTTTTTTCTTTTATCATCTCATTTCAAAAAGCATTTGAAACAATCCATGAAAAATTAATAAGGTGACAATAAAACATAAAGAGGGAGAAATCAAGGCTATATGCCTAGATCATCTTGAGATATGAATAGACTTTCCCACAAAC